GTTCCGGGTGGTCCAGTGGGAGTGGAGCTACGTCCAGACTCCGTACATCATCGCCATCTGGCTACTGGTGGCCAGCGTGGCCAAGATCTGTAAGTGCGTGTGTGGGGGGTGGGGGGTCTCTCTCTCTCTCTCTCTCTCTCTCTGGTCAGAAAAATCCAGGACTTGGACTGGGGTCAGTAAAAACTGTTAGTTCATGGATGATTAATCAATTTAAATGAAACCAAATGTCCATCTGTGGCTCCCAGAGTCAGTTTGCTTGTTTAAAATCTGACCAGTAAACACAGTCTGGAACCAGGTGAACCGTTCCTGGGAGAAATGTCTGTCTACAGTCATGGGCCAATGGCCTGTCACTCAGCTGTACTGATGAATGAACCAGACGGGTCAGCAGGTGTGGACCAAGGTGTAGCACAGATACAAATGCTGGGGCAGCAGCAGAAATAATTGGGCTGAAAGATGTGAAGAAAATATTGACCTTTCACACTTGTTAGCAGTGTTGCTGTCTGAAGTCCAGTCTGCAAAGTAAGTAAACCCGTCAATCAGATGTAGAGGAGGAGAAGTATTGACTCTGCCTCCATGGTGGAGCAGAAGTGCACAAGAATCTGGAGCTACTGTTAAGCACCTCACAGTGCGGTACTTGAGTAAAAAAATAGTTGCTGATGGAGGCGCAGCAGGCATCCTGGTCCTTCAGGAAATTTCAGAGTAGAACAGGAGCAGCAGGACTCTGCATCGTAGCCTCCTTCTCTCTTCTGTTTTCAAACATTTTGTTCCTTCGACATGCATTTGTGCGCACACAGTCCTGTGGTGACGCACCGCTGCAGGACGACAACATGCTACAGGATGTGTTCATGTTATTGACACACATGGCCGGAGGAAAACGAGTTAAGCTATCATCTCCACCAGTGAACCTCATGCCAGTTTGGTCCTGATCCTCCACGTCCTGATCCTCCTCGTCCCTCTGGACCACAGAGCTCCACTGTGTCCAGACACCAGTAAACCCACCAGTGGTCACACTGCTGCGCTGACTGACATGTTCCTCCATCACCCTGAACATGAGCACATGCACGGTTTTCCTGCAATGTGAAAGGCAAATGTGCTGCACATCCTTAATTGTTTCTGCCCTTTGAGTCCCCCACCCTGCATTGGCTCTGGGTTCAGCTCAGCGCTGATGTGAGCACTACTCCGTGCAGGCTGAGCTCAGCTCGACTGTGGAGGTTCTAACCGGAGAGGTTGACAGAAAGATTCCAAAGTGAGCAGACACAACATCTGCATCAACTTATGGTACCAAATGGGTTTTTCCATACTTAGTTTCCACCTGAAGTGTACCGTTTAGACAGTTTGAGGTTGGATAGACATCCTTGTTTTTTGTTTGTTTGTTTGTTTGTTTTTATTAACCCTGGTGGATTTGTCACAAGAAGAAAAGCAGGGAATATGACCAGAGTTGTAGTTGAACTCTGTGAACATGATTTCCTCCAGTCTCTGGTGTAAATGTTCAGATTTGAGCTTCATGTTGAGTGGCTGAATGTTCTCAGTGTTTCTGTCCTCGCTGTCCGTCTGGTGTGTGGGAGGTTCGGCTGTGTGTGCCGATATTGACTGCAACCTGTGTGTGGATTTGTTTGTGTTCAGTGAACAATCAGAAATGAAGTTTTCCTGAAAAATCACTGAAAAACCCTAAAACACAAGTTTTACCACAGGACTCGGTGTTGTGGTGTTGGCAGCACAGACTGGAGGTGCAATGTTCCAGTGTGAGTGGAATCAGGTTCGAGTCGGGGTCACACCGACAGTCTCATGCTTCAGTCAATTCATTTACAACCATTCTGATAACTGATGAATTGTTTGAGTCCTTTGTAAACCAGAAACACCTTCTGGTTGCAGCTTCCCATCTGTGACTCTAACTTCCTGTTTCAGTATTTGTGAATTTCACAGGTGAAAAGATGAACTTCACATCTTTCTACTTCGTATCACTGTAAGGTGTCAACCTGGATTGTGGGGACATGCTAATTATTGTCACAATGGACTGATTCGGAAAATAAACCACATATGAGCAGATCCCATGATAAAGACTGTGATATCAGAAGAGCTGAGTGAACCTTTCTGCATCTTCACCACCGCTGGACTTGTTTTCCAGTCCATGGTGGTTGTAGTCTCATGTCTGAGTGAGTCAAGCCTCCTGAAGTCTGCAGCACAAAGACAAAATGAGAGCTGAAACAATTGGTCAGTTACTGACAGAAAAAATGACCACTTCAAACAATAAGCATGTTAAACTATGTTGTGACCACACAGTTAATCAGTTAAGATGAAGTGATGACAAAATTGCAGACAAAAGAGTTTTTATTTGGAGGAAAGGCAGCTGCACTTCAGAAATTTAAGAGCCAGGGCTTGCACTCCTGGTTTTACTATGTCACTGTCTCTGCACTGAAGCTGCATCAGATCAGGACTGGAGACGTGAGCTGGTGATGTGCAAACACCAGGATGTGTCTGACCTGTATAAACGCATCACAAGTTCATTGCTTAAAGGAGAACTGCAGCATTGTCAGAGACGGATACTATGTTGTGTTCACTTCAGTCTTTGATGCTTTGTTCCTTGTTGATTTATGAGCAGAGTCGCTGATGTGTTCCTGGTGTGTATGTGTATGTGAGTATGTGTGGTCATTTGTCATGTGTGTCTTCTCATGACTCACAGCAAACCTTTAATGATGGTTCCTAACTACATGTCCAAGGACATGCACGCACACACACACACACACACTTGTCATGACAACACCGGCACAGTGTATTTTGTGATATAATACAGAAAAAGCAGCAGTGGTCTGACTCATCCTGACCCTGTAAAACTCAGGTCAGATCTAAAATGAGTCGTGACTCAGTAGCTGCGGCAGAAGATCTGATGTTGGCAGAACTGGTGCCATGTTTGTCCAGAAGCAAAAATTCAGTGGTGCATTCATCCAGTCAGGAAGGCTTCAAGGTGGAGGAAAAAACATAAACATGACTGAAGTTGTTGTTTACGTAGAGTCGTGCAGTTTGAAGGAACAAGCAGGAAAAACCTTTATAGTCAGCCTGTTTGTGGTAGAGAAGATCTCAGCAGGTGCTGTCCATATTTGGACACTGATGTCAGTGTTTGTGCAGGACTCCATCGACCTGTAGCACCGGAGCTCGACTCTGCTCACCTTCCACTTCTGCTGGCCAAGTGGAGTGGAGTCAGAACCACATGAAATCGCCTCGACTTGTCCTTTCAAACCAAAGACCCAGCTTAGAAACACTCTGGTTGTGGCTCCAGTGCAGTACAGTGTAATGATATTAGTCCTGGGTTGCTGTTTTTGTGGGTTTGCAATTTGTGTTTCATTATTTGTATAAAGACTAGCTGTTAGCTGTATTCCTGCCTCCAGCTAGTATGACTTTCCCTGGACTAGCTGTTAGCTGTATTCCTGCCTCCAGCTAGTATGACTTTCCAGGGATAAAACTGCATCACACACAGAAACAGGGTTTGTCCTGTGAAACATCTTCAGACTCTGAGCTGCACAGTGTCTAACCCCAGCTGTTGTCCCGCAGTGTTCCACTTCTCCCAGCGCTTCATAACAGTCGTCCCAGAGAGCTGCATGCTCATCCTGCTGGGTCTGGTCTTGGGAGGGGTCGTCCTAATGGCCAGTAAGAAGCAACTGTACCAGCTGGAGCCCGCTCTCTTCTTCCTCTTCCTGCTGCCGACCATCGTGGGTGACGCCGGCTACTTCATGCCAGCCCGCCTGTTCTTCGACAACCTGGGTGCCATCTTGACATATGCCGTGGTGGGAACACTGTGGAACGCCTTCTGCACCGGCTTCTGTCTGTACACTGCCAAACTGCTGGGGGTCATAGGTCAGTCACTGGGGTCATAGCTCAGTCATGGGGGGTGGTAGGTCAGTCACTGGGGTCATAAGTCTGTTACTGGGGTCTGTAGGTCACTTAATGGTGTGACGCCAGAATAACAAGCTGTTGGGTCCAGTCCTCAGAAAAGAAGAGGTGGTGGAGGTTCCACAGGGGCAGGGTTCCTGTCTTTCAGCAGACACCACTCAATTTATAAGAGAGTAGGTGTAAAACATGCAAACAGAAGAAAATGATGCATGTTGCTAGTCCCATTGACAGATTCAAAGAGAACCCTCCTGACAACTCGGAATGTTTAACTGTTCATCACCAGCCCGTCATCAGGACACAGGAGTAGTTTGGCAGAGGTTCATAGACCACCTCGCACTAAAGGTCTGAGGAGGAGAAAAATAACACGTCAGTAAGGAAACAGCTTTTAGTCTTCCAGCTGTTTACTTATGCTCTTCAGTGTACTTTAATTTTATTCTCTTCATCACTGAATGTCGAGAGCTGTTATGAGACCTGGAAACATTCTGACATCGATCTGATATCTGGTGTCGTCTTGGACACGACACGTTGACAGTAGGTGCTACAGCCTGAAACCTGATCCATTATGAACTCAGAGCTTCTCCTGAGAAATCAGCAGCAGACAGGGATATGAAATTGTGTTTCCTGTGGTTTTACATGTGTGGGTTTACATGTGTGTGTTATTGCATGCTGTGTGTGCAGATGAGCGTGTGCAGGCAGACCTGATGGACTTCCTGTTATTTGGGGCATTGATCTCAGCTGTAGACCCTGTGGCGGTGTTGGCTGTGTTCGAGGAGGTTCATGTCAATGACACACTCTTCATCATCGTGTTCGGAGAGTCGCTGCTCAATGATGCTGTCACCGTGGTGAGACGCACATGCACGACATGTACACACACAGAACAAAAGGTGAATGCACACACACACACACACAGTTGGGTGACAACTGACAGGACAATCCCCCACCCAGTTCCCAGCAGGGCTAAGTCTCCTCTGTCAGAGGAGGAAATCTCCTCCTTCCAAACCAGATCCCCTCACTGTGTCCAACCCACTGTGTCGTCCTCATGAAGCCATTCAGTGACCTAGAGCTGCAGCCATGAGTCAGTTCACTGGTAGAAAATTAACTGGCAGCTATTTAGAAGCAACAGTCACCGACATGTTCTGGTTCCACCTTCTTTAATGTGAGGAGCTGATGCTTTTCTTTGTCAGACATGAGAATCAGCTGAGTCTCTGTGGATCTGTTGGTTGGACACAATGAGACATTTGAAGACACACCACCTTTGGCTCTGGAGAGTCACAGTGGGACTTTTCCCAGTGTCTGACATTCTGGGAATAAACAGATCGATCAGATCATCAGGATGATGATCAGCTGATTGATCGGTAACCCCGCTGGTTGGACTTCTACTCAACAAGTCAGGAGGCTCCTCTCACTTGTCACCAGCTGTACATAAACACACATTTTCACATGAGCTCTGTTCATGTGTTGCTAAGGTAACAGAGAGGCTCACAACATCAATACTGCCAACAACATGCTGTTGTGTGTGCATGTACTCATCTTTGTTACACTGTGCGGACCAATTTTTTCCCATGCCATCGTATTGAGGACACGTTGTGTGGTCCTCACCTGTTCAAATGGTTGTTTGAGTGCTCAGACCTGGTTCTAGGGTTCAGGTTACAGTGAGGGTAACAGGCTAGAGGACACATCGTGTCAGTGAGGGTCCTCACAACTATAGAAACACCAGTGTTTGTCAGTGCACACGTTTGCTCTTGTTGTATTAGTAGTATTATGTCATAATCACATTGGCGGGTTGCACCGCCATCCGTGTGTGTGTGTGTGTGTTTGTGTGTGTGTGTGTGTGTGTGTGTGTGTGTGTGTGTATGGATGGGTGAACCTGTAAAGCACTTTGTCCAGGTGAGGTACAATGGGCCCCTTGGCAAAGCCCCCCACCCTCCTACACAGGACCCCCAGAGACACAAAGCAGCTACAAATGGTCCGTTGTTCATAGTCGCTGTCTCTTTCTGTACTGGTTTTCAGTCCAGTTGTTTTGACTTTCTCTGTACTACCACTGCATCTTTTTGTGTAGTTGTGACTGTTTCTTTTCATATTGTTTCTCTTGTTTTTGTACTGCGTCTCTAACACGTACCCTGTCGGTCTGTTCAGTAACCCATCTTGGACTCAGTAGAAGCAGCAAATGGCAGATGGTTAGTATTAGTAGTACCATGGTAGTATTTGTGGTAGCAGCTCCGCTGAAGGGCTACTGCTGTGAGTTATTATGTAACTTCTACACTGTAGGTGTTGTTGTGAGAGGCAGCTTAAATGCAGAACAGTCCAAATGTGAGCAGCAGATATCTTTAGTTTTAGTCTCTGGTACAGGTCAAGCTCCAAAAACTCTGTGTGTTGGCACTGCCTGAGGAAAACCGCAGAATGTTCCTTTAAAGCTTTGCAGCTCGTGCTTTCCTACAGGAGCAACAGATGGACAGCAGCAAGAAGAGCAGCACCTTCAGCTTTACTAACATGTCGCGCTTGATGAAACAGTTCTGAGTAGATTCCCGTTGTAGCTTTCTGATCCTGAGCAGCACTCAGAGTGGGAGAGGACTGCTGCTGTGGCCTGCAGTACCACGAGGACGTCACTGGACCGAGACTCTCAGTTCTGCAGACCCAAATGTCTCTGCATCATTTTATTATTCGTCTTACAGTACATGACATTACTGTGACTCATTTTGCTGTAAACCCTGAAACACTGCATCAGTGGTGTTGATCATAAAATCACTGGCTTTGCAGAAACCCACTCCTACCTGTTAACACTGTAGTAGTTAGCAATAAACAAGATTCCAGAGGTAATATGTAATAGAACAGTATGTAGTTCATATTTAGATAATATTTGTGTTAGTTGTGTAAGGATGTAAGGCTGAGCTCAGTGTGTACGGAAGCTTGATCCGTCTCTGGCGCAGGCAAGAATATCTTGGGCTGTTTCCCTTGTTTAGCCTATGGGTCAACATCCCCTAGGGGTCAACATCCTGAGTGACTTCCTCCTCAGATAGGGAATGGATATATTGTAGCTGTAGCCTTATGTGAACTGTTCGTGTGCTCTGTTCAGGTTTAGAAAAAGGAAATGTGCGCTAGGTCAATGTGACCTAGAAGGTCATCTACTGGACAGTTTAGACAATGCTCGGAAGAAGGTGTGTGTGGGTAGCTGGCATGGGACCGCGTCTTCATGGCTCCGGCCATGACGGGCTGTGTGAGCATGAGCATATAAAAAGCTGGCTTAGAGCAGAAGAAGGGAGAGAGAAGATGACAATGCTAGTGGGACAGTAAACCGTGTACTTTGTGGGGACGCTGACCCAGCCGGCTGGGGGGACGCTGAATTAAGACTGACTCGGGACAATCTGATGCTAACCTGCAGCATCAGGAGAAACGCCATCTGAGGTGTCCATCCATCCGGCCTTTGTCTATACCCCTTATCCTAATGCGGGTCATGGGGGGGCTGGAGCCAATCGCAGAGAGACTGCAGAGGAAAGGGCTGTGGCGTAATGCAGCTGGTGTATACAGAGGCCACTGGGAAGGTGCACTACAGCCATTTGGTGTCCAAAGTTAGCCCCCGCCCCCCTAAGGTGGAAACAGTTTGGTCTGGGTGTTCATCTACAGTATTGCAGGAGATGGAGGGCCACAGTTATTGTGTGAGATTTAACTCATAAGATAAAAGGTAAAGTGTTGCAATATTTGGAGAAAAGGTTGTAATATTTGGAGAATTTAGTTGTAATATTCACTGGGGAGTGTAGTAAGGGTTAGAAATTAACCATAATATTTTGAGATTAGGGAATGGTATTAATGTCTTTTTTTAACAGTATAGTTAAACGCGTGATATTATTAGAATAAAAGAAAAATATTTTTTTCTAATGTGGCCTTAATACGCATCCACCGGCTAGACTGTAGAGAGCAACAGGAGCTGCTGAGTGCACAGAAGAGACCACCTCATTTTTCTGACCTGACAGTTGTTTGTACACTTTGACATATACTATCAATGTGTGTGTGATCATCGACTCCTGAGGGCTCTGCAGCTCAGAGTCACAGGTTTGATGCTTGCTGTTGTTTGAGGCTCATTCAATTTCTGCTTTTTAGTTTCATTATCAAACGTCTTTGGTTGTTTACTGTTTTCTGTGTGTTTGAATGAGTCTGAAATACAGGAGACACAGAATCCTCTGGTCTGGTTGCATCGCCAGTCACTCCTGTTGCTCTTTACTGTACAATGTCAAACACAGAAGAGCCACATAACAAACAGAGCTGGCCTCTGCAGCTGCTTGTATGGAGGCATCAAAAGCAGTATAAAAACTTCAACTGAGAACCGGGGGAGCTGGAAGGGACCTCAGATCTAAAGCCTTTCTGTCTTCTGTAGGTTCTATATAAAGTCTACATTTCCTTTGTGGAGGTGGGAGCAGAGAACGTTCACACAGCAGATTACTTCAAAGGAGTCGGTGAGTCACACAGGTGAACTGCATGTGATCGAACTCTGACTCTTCTGCTACTCACATCACCCCTCTCCCTCTGCAGCCTCCTTCCTCATTGTCAGTGTCGGGGGGACTCTGGTGGGTCTGGTATTTGCCATAATCCTGGGCTTCATCACTCGTTTTACCAAGAAGGTTCGGATCATTGAGCCACTCTTCGTCTTCCTGCTGGTCTACCTGGCCTACCTGACCGCTGAGCTCTTCTCCCTGTCTGCCATTCTGTCGTAAGTCTGTACAACCATGACCAGTGTGACCAGTCTGCACTGTGACAAAACATAGGAAGGGTCATGTTTTTTTGCTCTAACCCAGTACTCGCATAACCATGTGTGTTCTCTTCTTGAACGTCTCCACAGTCTGTGCATCAGAAGAGAGGAATGCAGGATGTCTTCACTGTCACTTTCTGGTGCACAGCTCTCCTTCAGCATCCATACATACATGCTACCTTAGACACTAAAAGTCTAATAATAATATAGACACGCTTAAAGAATGACATGCCTAAAATATACCACTGTAATAAACAACTGTGAAGCTGCATGGATTAAAAAAAACTTCATAACCTAAGCCAATTTCAGGTTAGGTTCGATGATGGGTCCAAGATAAACGTTATTTTTAATCTCATTGTTGATGTTTGTTGTCTAACAACATCTACTCATGGTTTACTTCCACCTCCAACAGCCAGGTGATGAGGTTCCAGCAGGAACAGGGAGGCAGAAACCTGCTGGCAGACACAGTGATAACACTGACCCCTCTCTCCTCAGCATGACCTTCTGTGGCATCGGTGCCAATAAATACGTGGAGGCCAACATTTCCCAGAAGTCTCGGACCACTGTGAAGTACACAATGAAGACTCTGGCCAGCATCGCTGAGACCATCATCTTCATCTTCTTGGGGATCTCAGCTGTGGACAAATCCAAATGGGCCTGGGACACTGGCCTGGTGTCCTGCACCCTTGTTTTCATCTTTGTCTTCAGAGCTGTCGGTCAGTGCCTCCCTACTCTCTTTGTGTCTCTTGTCCTCAGGCAGCTCTTTGTGTTTCCATAAGACCAGAAGAGTAAAGTAGGCTCACGTGATCAAACCAGTGGAACCAGAGACAGATCACAACAGAAGAATGACAAAGATCTAGCAGTAATTGATTCTGCATGCATTGTGTACAATGTCTGACATTGTAATGATAGTATGGGGCCAGACTCTGTGAGAGGTGATTCGTCCCCGTGGTCAATAAATGGCACCGGCTGTCACCCTGTGACACTGGAGCTTCACAGCTGAGATGATGCGTGATGCCGTCCGCAGGTGTTGACTGAGCAGGTTCAAATGCCACCTTGATCTCAGAATGTTAACACTGAGGCCTCTTTTTCCTCCAGCTCACACAACCTGCGACCTGTAGAACTGAGACCATTTCCATAAGACAAATACAGAAAACATTCCACCCTCTTTCTTCAGGATGTCTCCCTAACTGTTCTTTAGCCTCACGTCCTCAGCAGGTACATCTTTTACTGTTTTGTCCTCTGTGGTTCTCCTGACCTTTCATAACCTCTGTATGCCAGGTGTGATCGGTCAGACCTGGGTTCTAAACCGCGTCCGTCTCGTCCCATTGGAAAAGATCGACCAGGTGGTGATGTCGTACGGCGGCCTGCGAGGGGCGGTGGCTTTTGCTCTGGTAGTGCTGCTAGATGGTGAACGGGTCAAAGCCAAAGATTACTTTGTTGCTACAACGATTGTGGTTGTCTTCTTCACCGTCATGTTTCAGGTAAGAGCAACGCCACATCCTGTCCAGACAGGATGCTCTGATGATGAGTTTTTCTCTGTTGATTCAGGTGTAAGGTGACCCGTGCAAACAAGAAAAACACCTGTGCACTAAATACTTAGTTCAGTATGTTGTCTGTCTCCATGAATGCAAAAGTTAGCATGCTAATTGGCTAATATTTACCAAGACTGATGATGTAAACGAGCACAGCCACAGCAGAGTTCATCTGAATGTACCTCACCTCAGAGCAACACAGTGAACTGGATGTAGGAGTGTAAATACACTGCAATAATGCAAGACAAAAGTCATGATCTCAATCTTTAGTTTTTACTGGGTCATTTTGTCGGAGTTCCAAGATGGCTGCTCATAAAAAATATTTCCATCTACCTGTTTTTGAATGCTTCAGGAAACTTGCAACAAAGTTGATGTATCAAAAAAGTGTTTTCTGTTGTCTGAAGACACTGCAACTCAGCGAATGAACACTGGCATACATGAATCATGAGACACAAAATGGAGATGTGTGTGGAGCGATGAGGAGGCTGTGACCTTCCTCGGACTATCATGTGCGAGTGAAATGCCAATGGCAGGAAGTGAGTTGTAAGTTCGTTAATAAAGGACCTTTCAGATGTAGCAGAGCAGCAAAGAAAAGAGAGAAACTGAACTGAACCTAACTAAACTGCTGAGTGTTTCTCTAGTACACCAAGTAAAACTGGATTTTTGATTTAGGTTTTTAGGTTTTTGTCGGGGGGGGGACGGTGAAAACCACTGACTGCACTCGGTTCTCTCTATAGACAACACAGCAGCAGTTAAACACAAAGAAAGAAAGCTGATAGGGACTCAAATCATTACTTTTATAAATGAAGAGGATGTTCATGTGAACACTGCAGGTCTTGTCACTCAAAATAATGAGATCCCATTTTAGGAAGGGCTCACGACCTGTTTCCTCATTCACATCTTTTTATATCAGCATCAAATTGAAGTGTCCATACGTTTCCTTTTGCAGGAGTTTTTGTTAAGCAGTCCCTCACTCTGACAAAGACCTGGTTGGTTTGAAACCAGTTACAAACAGACTCTTCCTCCATCGTTAGTCCCTGCTCTGCCTGAGAGCGTGCTCTCATCTTCTCAGTGAAGTTTTAACCTGCTCAGTGTTGCCAACTCCTCAGTAACTAAAGTAGCTATTGGCTGTCCTAAAAGTCGCTAAATGACGTCATCACCTAATGTGCATAATAGTCAATTTGCATGTAACTAATGGACATTGTAGGAGAGAGGAATAACCTCATGGGAAAGACAAAAAAAGAGTAAAAAACAACAACACCCTAAATACATTTAGAACTATAAATGAACTTCCATAGAGTAGAGTAGAGTAGAGTAGGTACTTGATTGATCCCACAGTGGGAAAATTTCTGTGTTACAGCAGCAATAGACAACAACCAACATAACACCATAAGAACAGACACATAATAACAGAACTTTGATTCTTGGTTTGTTTGTTTTTTATTTTGCCATTGAAATAGGCCATCACTTCTCAAAATAACTTCACGACTTTAATGATTTGTTTAGACCCACATTACATAAATCAATTTTGTCCTGTATTGTTAAATGTTAGAATATCACATTTAATCAAAAGACTGTTATGTGGAGTGTAATTGCTAGCTCTACATCCATCCCTCCTTCATCCGGGCTCAGCGGAGGCTTTGCGCACGCGCGATTCATCTGCAGTGTGGATGCGGAGCGGTGTGGGCCTCGGGACGGGGGAGGGGCTCACGGCAGCACCCGCTGCTCGTTGAGGACAGGAACTGTAGAGTGATATGTGCTTTCACGTCAGTCTCCAATAACACCAGAAAAAGTCGCTAGTCGCTTTTGACAAAAAAAAAGAGGATTTGGAAAGTCGCCAGATTTAGCGAGAAAGTCGCCAAGTTGGCAACACTGAACCTGCTGATTCATTCAACCATCACAATGAACACCAGGTCATATGGACACGTGCCAGCGTGCGCCAGTGCTGGATCGACTGAGTAACACCTACTCACTACATGGTGTCACTGTGGCGCCAGAGCAGAGCTTCATGCCAGCATCTAATTCATTTAAATTCAGTTTATGACTGACTCAGCCAACTGCGGGGCGGCAGATTCCATCTGCTGCAGCGCGTTGACGTCTGCTGTGAACAGCTGGTGTTGCCCATGTTTGTGTTGGAGGAGGATGCACGTGACGATGCAGCAGATGGTGAAGATGTTGGTGGGGTCTGTGTTCTGAGTTCAAACAGATGCTGTGGGTTCATTATTGTAACTTGGATGAAGACCTCACCGTCTTGGAAAAGATTAATTCCAAAGGTTTTCTCACCACCACAGGTGAGACATACACACATCTTTTAGTTTCAGTATAATCTGGTTTCTCTCTGTTAATCTCACCTGCTCATCACAGCCTCACTCAGAGAATGATGGGAAATCCACCTCTGTGCTGTGCTGATATGTGCAGCAGGAGAGAAGAACCTGAGGCTCGTCATCTGTGTTAGCTGGCCGTTCAGTCATGCACCTGTTTCCTGTCTCTGTCAGGGTCTGACCATCAAACCTCTGGTGAAGTGGCTCAGAGTTCCTCGCTCCACCAGCAGGAAGTTGACCATCAACGAGGAGATCCACGAGAGGGTGAGAGCACTTCTCCTTCCTCCTCACAGTACAGCAATCACACACCACCGCTGTGCACTAACAGCTGGAGCTGTTGAAAACTGCAGCAGTTACTTTATCCGCCCACAGCTTAGAGGACTAGCAACTCCTCATTGAAAAAGCAAAGGCTGTTCACCTCCAGAGCTTCTGCTGGAACCTCAGACATGGTGAGGATGCCAGCTACATCCTGTCTCCAGTCTGAATCCCTTCGGCCTTTAGGGCCTGGTTCCAAACCCTGAACCGAATCAGCACGTCACTGTAACATAGGCTCATTCAGCCAACTTGTTGTTCTCTCCTGTGGTTTCTCAGCAGTCACGTTTTGCTTTTATGTGTTACAATGTGAGATTTCTTCAACATGGAGGTGAATGGAGACAGTCCATTTTATTCTAAGCCTCCGTTTAAAAACTCAGTGCAACTTAAATCATGTTGAGTAGTTGTCGTCATGAGGAGCAACACACAAAACCAAGATTTTAAGCCAGACACCATTTGACTTGAACTTGGAGTAAATAAACAGAAGTAAAAATTCTGAACTGTGATCATGGAAAATAACATGTAACTCACTTGAATTAAGGTAACAGAAGTAAAATTTCTAATTTGGATGAACTCAAAACCTAAACTTTAAAAGTACATTTAATCGTCTGACTCAAAACGCTATTGAAGATCATCACCTTGAAATGTAGTTTTCCTCAGCTGTGTGTTTTATGTAGTTGCTCCCTGTGGCCCTGAAACCTGAAGGATGACACACAGACCCTTGTCTTTGTTTCCAGCTTTACTGTTTGTGTGGCTACTAAAGGCTAATGGCAAAAAGAGAAGAAAGCTTCCCGTTCAGCTTGTGGAGAGTAGTGTTGTGGAAACTGTCAGTGTGAGGAAGCCTGACGAGTGTGTGTGTGTGTGTGTGTGTGTGTGTGTGTGTGTGTGTTCGTTCAGGCCTTTGACCACATCCTGACAGCAGTGGAGGACATCGCAGGACTGCAGGGATACCACCACTGGAGAGACAAGTGAGTGCTCATCAGACTGCCAGCATGATAACGTCATGATAACACTGCAACAGCACCAGACTGACCTGTAGATGTGACAGCAGATCACAAACAGTAGTGACCAGCAGGGGGAGCCCTGTCACACACTGTGCAGCAAAATCTGCTCAGTCTGACTGTATGCGAACAGGACTCAGCACTGTGGGTGCCCATCCATTTGTTTATGTCCTTTATATGTGAGCTGAATCTGCCCCTCCCTGTCTCTATGTCCGTCCCTGCCTCTCTGCCTTTCTCTGTTCCCGTCCCTGTCTCTGTGCCTGTCCCTGCCCCTCTGCATGTCTCTGTGTCCATCCCTGCCTCTCTGCCTGTCCCTGTCTCTGTGCCAGGTGGGAGCAGTTTGATAAGAACTACCTGAGTAAGCTGCTGCTGAGGAAGTCTGTGTACAGGAAGAGTGAACTGTGGGAGGCATATCAGAAGATCAACATCAGGGACGCCATCAGTGTCATTGACCAGGTAGGAGGAGGAGAAGGGGCAGTTTTTTTTTCTTCTGCTGTAGTTCTGTGGTAACACTGTTACAGCCCACCTCAATGAATATCACTTCCTGCTGTTGCCATGACTCATATTTAATCCCTTCATTCATGGTTCTGTCTTTTCTATTGAACATTTCCTCCTTTTTCACTTGAACCCACTCACTGCTGCAAGGACTCCCTGAGCAGAACCAGTTGATAACCAGCTTCATGATACTTATCATAGGGGCGGCTGTGGCTCGGGGGTAGAACGGTTGTCTCCCAACCTTTCCATTTGGAAAGTTGGTGGTTTGATTCCCAGTCTCCCCAGTCCACGTGTCAAAGTGTCCTTGAGTAAGACACTGAACCCCTAGTTGTCCCTGGTGGCCAGGCAGCAACTGACAGTGCTGCCATCAGTAAGAAATCACCCCATGGGAATTAATAAAGTAAAACAATTATCCAGTTAGACTCAGTAAACACCAGGAAACCAGAAGAGTCAGACTAAACTGTGGACCGGACCCAGGAGGGGAAAGTTTGTCCAGCAGTAAAAACACTCCATGTTTTACCTCACAGGCAAATGTAACATGTAGGAACCGGTCCTTTCTGCAGCTGAGGAGCTTCTTTTATTTTCTGTTAGTGTGCAGGTTGTGAGGAGGCCATCAGTCAGGTTATTTATTAACCTCATATACAGGTTTTAATGTCCCGTTTATTATCAAGAGCTCCGTCAGCTTTTTCAAACTTTTGTTTTGGCCTCGACATTTTCTCTCATAATGAATCAGAAATAAAACATTTGTCCCTCCCTGGACAAATACACACAGTGAGGGCTCAGCTCCAGGCTTGTGTTACTGTCACACTGGCAGTGACTCACATTTCAGCCCACCAACACAGACTGTATATAAAGAAACCCCTGACCTTCTTAAACGCTGTCTCTGGCCCACCGAGTCAGTAACTAACTGAGAAGAAACAGTGATTTATGACCAGCCACACTGGTGGGGAGCTTTCATGACACCGATACAGCAACGCAGAAGAGCATATATAAATCAGAACAGGCCAAAATAACACCCCAACCCCCCCTGTCTCTTCCCTCCTCCCACCTGTCAACACCAGTGGGCAATGGAAACCTCAAAAGTAAAAACGGTTTCAGCCTTTATCACGTTCAGTCCTGTGATGACCATTAAACACATCCTGGAAAACCTGGAATGTAGCCTTGCAAGATGGATGAAATTACCCTGGAAAACATTAAATCAACACCAGTCACGTTTTTAGGGCCCATAATATTTTTTCCAGTATTTGTGATGTACAGTACAGCTGTGCTCGGAGACGAGTCAGGGTCAGGTGTTCAGGATTTCACTTGTAATGCAGTTTAAACTTTGCTGCCAGTGTGTGTAAAGTTTCCAGTAACCATGTTTTAGTCTGCAGCTGGGAAACATCCTGGGACCCCTGTTGTGTCAGTCAGAGGCCAAGGGGGAAGGCTTCAGTCCATCAGTTATTAGTTTATATTTAGGAATATCTGGAATTGCAGTTTGGAGACTGTGGGGATTATGGGAAATGTGGTCTTCATGCAAGGACATAGCTGCTCTGGAAGGAACAGAAAGGACTGATCAGGGTGAAAGCTGTTACCCATTGACCTCTAACCTTTGGCCTGTGTTTGTGTATGTGTGTGTAGGGGGGGAATGTTCTGACCTCAGCCAGACTCTCTCTGCCCTCCATGGCCAGCAGAGCCTCGTTTCCTGAGGTCACCAACGTCACCAACTACCTGTGAGTCACAAGACTGGCCTACACCTACTAAGACACAGTCATAATTTAGATCAGCATTTACACTATATGATTATGTGCACTTCATTAACTAACATGTTTCCACACATGCACCAAAATCAGTGAGATGATCTTTTTATTTAATTCATAATGTCACACAGCAGCAGTGGGGGAAACTGCACAGGCAATACCTTCTTCAGTGTACTGCGGACTCGGGTGGTCTCCCCAGTTCTCTTTTCTGTCTGTGGCTGAGCGCTTTCTTCACCTCTGATGTAAATATAGAAATGTACAAGCTGGGCGTTAACAGAAACACCCCTCAGACAATGCTGTTCACACAGAACATGTTCCACAAGTGTCAGCATGCGTTAAAGCCTTTAGAGCTGATGGAAGCTGTGGTTGAGTGTCAGTGAAATGTTGCTTTGTCTTTGTTAAATGATGTTACAATCAGTAGATATGCAGTTGGCTTAGTAAACCACAGGAATGTGATTTAAAGAGGAACATTTCATAACTGTAAAGCACCATAATGCCTGTTGTTTGAAGGGAAACACATGTCTTAAGAAGGAAACACAGCTTCTGTCTGAGCTCAAGGTTGTTAGCATCATGCTAACTGTGTGCTGTTGCCATGTTGTTCCAGGCGTGAGAACGGCAGTGGGGTGTGTCTGGACCTCCAGGTAATCGATAATGTCCCCGGAGCCAAAGTGGAGGAGGACACTGAGACACACCACGTCCTGGCTGAAAACCTGTACAAACCCAGGAGACGGGTAACATACACATACTGACCTCATAAATGTTAAATCATGATTGGATTGTGATTAAAGAAGTCCACACGATAAAACCCACCCTCCTGTTCAATCAGATGTCTGGCTCTGCAGCCATTGCTGTAAACGACATTCATCCCTTGGAGGGTTTCTAGGCTCCTGAGAGACGTTATAGGGGTCCTTAAAGACATTTGATGGCTCTTGGGAGGTTCCAGGGGTTCATGAGGAGACTTTAGGGTCCTTGAAGAAGCACAGTCATTGAGGATGTTCAACTTTTAGAACACAGGGACTGTTAATAGTTCACTGAGGAGGTTCCAGGAGTCCTGGCAGTGTTAGCAGGTCCTTCCTTGGATTCTGGGATGGCTCAAGAAGGCTTAGGGATCCTTGAAAATATTATAGAGGTGCTTGAGAAAATTATGTGGGTCAGTGAATAAGTCAAGGAGGTTAGGGGGTCTTTGAAGATAATCCGGTGATCCTTGAGGAAGTTTCAGTGTTCTTAAGTTGAGGAGTTGTAGGGGTCCTTGGAGAGATTCAAAGGAACCTTTAGGAGAATACGTCTGTGCAGATTCTCAGTCATCCAGGTCTAGAGACAGAGAGGAGGTGGTGGAGACCAAACTCAGAGCAAACAGAGAGGGAGCACTGGGCTGAGGTTCATCAGGGGGACATGGAGGGACATGTTGGAACAGCTAGAGGTGCTGGAACAGTTTGATCACAGTTTCAACATGTCCATATGTCAGTGTTCACCATTTGTTTTTGCTGAAAACCAGTACATTTATCATGTATCACGTCATGTTAGTTCACTGGATTAGTGCTGTGATACAAGACCGGACCCGGGGTGAAATAGGCCAGAAAACAGACTGCATCCTCTGTCTGTCACAGCCAGAAAAAGCTCAGGTGTACCTGATAGCAGTAAAAGTGACCAGATTCCATTTAGGTGGACCAGTTCCAGGTCCTGGCTTACTGGGACCCTTAATGGAAGTGAGCCACCCATGTCTTTCAAAATGTCAAATGTCTGCTGTCTGTTCTGGTCCTGTGTCCTGACTCTCTGTTGTGCTATTGCTGTTCAGTATCAGTCCCACTACAGCCGTCACTTCATGCCTCTGGGGGAGAAGGAGCGCCAGGACCGGGAGGTGTTTCAGAGGAACATGAGGAGCCGCATGGAGAATTTCAAATCCACCCGATACAAACACCACAAGAAGGAGCGCAGCTTGAAGAAGGCAAGACCCAACATCTGTTTGTCTATCTTCTCTTCTGACGGTCATCTTTCTGTTGTCAGCTGCAGTAAAATCTCACATTTTACTTCAGGAGATATTTTCTGTAAGTTTAGGAAATAGTGTGAGTCACTGTTTACAGCTGAGCTTCATGATCGCAGTGAGCTGGGTGGATGTTTGAGGCACAGAGTGGGCCATCAGGCTGCGCTGGTGGTGTCCGCATGCTTGCTTTGTGTTGGTGAGACTGTATGACAGCTCATTATGCAGATTTTATTTAACCATTTACTTTTCTTTAGACACAGTGCACAAACATGGAGAAAATGGACTCATTTCACTGATGAAAGCCTCAGGAAACACCAAGAGCTAGACTGGACTGATGGAAAGAAAATGACCTGACATGTTAAAAACTTGAGAAGAAAAACAATTTATGTGGTTCAGTGTCTTTGGATTCAGTTTTAAGGAATTCATCTGGATAACATAAACCAATTAAATGAGTTTACAGTTGCTTTTAAGTAAATCTTAGTGTAATTTAACTTGCACAACTACTTTTCTTAAATAAAAACTGTATTTATTTATTTAGGTAGTCTCCTTTTGATCAGCAGCTCTTTTATAAAGAGAGACTTGAACAAGAAACCGCCAAAGTGATCAAACACAAAGATTGATAAATCAGTTCTATTATAATAAAACTTTAAAATGTCCTAGAGGAATGAAGGAATCCAATCTGAGGCAGTTCATTCCATTGAAACCCTGCATATATCCTGATGACTCATAAAAATGTATAAATTAAATAATATGATTGAATTATTAGAATCAACCCCTGAGAGGTCAACAGCTACTCCAGTTACAGTCAAGCCTTCATAAGCAAGTTCCCCCAGTTGATTCCTGGTTTTACTGGGAGAGTCAGCGTGGAGCTGGAAGAGAGCCTGGAGGTCGGATAGTCCTCCCTGATGACACAAAGGTCAAAGGGGGAAAGGAAGGTCCTGATGCAGAGTGGTTTCTGTCAGAGGTTGTGTGTTATGTCAGCTTCGGTTGTGTCCTGACCTGTCCAAACACACACATCTGTAAAGCTCATTTTTATTACCAGCTTTGTCTGCTGACACTTCGACAATTGTTTCATTACAGTAGCAGTGCTTTCACTGCTCTGTCCTAAAAGACAAAGTGGCTGCCTCCTGTTATGGCTGCAGGAGGACTGACTGTTTATTGTGTGCTGCTTTCAGCAGAGGAGAGGATCCGACACCAAGGATGATGGCAGCGACAAACCCAGACGCAATGTCAGCTCGCAGGACAAAGGTAAATAAAAGTGGTGGTTGTTATTTATGCAGAATCAGAGGGAGAGCTGCTGCTCAGGGCTCATATTCAGTGATGGAGGTGAAACAGCCCTTCACCTGTGCAAATACGTGAGCCAACCAGCCTGTTCTTCGCTGCATTAAAGCTCTTAAAGTGGTCAGTGTGTGTCTGTGTACTGATGTGTTGTGTGTGTGTGTGTTCAGATCCAATGCTTGTTCCTGTGGAGCCGCAAGTGGAGAAACCCTTGGACCCTGAGAAGGAGGAAGATGTCGGGATCACCTTTGTAGCTCGCAAGGCTGAGACACCAAAGCAACGACCCAAATCAGGTAAAGACACACAACAGGTTAGCCTCACCACAATGCCACCCTGCAAGGTGAGGTTTCTCCGCAGGTGTGATGTAGGAGGCATAGTGACACTGTGTGTGTGTGTCTGTGATGGGGGTGGGAGTAACCTCAGTCTTAAACACCTTGTCTCCACTGAATCCAGCTGTGCCGCAGCTGCATCTGGCCTTTGTTGCAGCCTGATGTGAACAGTAAATGTCAGTCATGTCTACCAGTTTAAAAGGAGCTTCACTGACGTTTTACTGCAAGCCTAGTGAATATGCAGCTCATTTAGACGTACTAACACATAGTCTAAATACTGTGCTACCGCACACTGTTTATGTAGAATAGCCTATGCCCACATGAAGCTGCTACACTTTATAAACATATATTTTTCCCTGTTTTGGCCCTTTATCCTCACTCATCCTAAAACTGAGCTTCTGTAAAACAGTGATGCATTAAAACTCAGGGAGCAGACTGAACAAAGGTTTGACAGGATGAAACTCTGTCAGTGCTACCATTTAGCTGATGTTGACTAGGAGTTTTGTTGTTTGAAAAGAAGAAAGATGTTGTCTATACAGTGGCAGTAACAGTGTGTCCTCTTTCAGTCCCAGCAGCTCTGGATGGGTGTCAGAGTCCATCAGCCGTCTCCCCAACACTCAGTAGCGAAGCCAGCCATCTGCCATGGAAGGGCAGTGTAGGTTTGCCTCCACCCTGTGTGTCTGTGGAGGCCACAAAGATAATCCCCGTGGACCTCCAGCAGGCCTGGAACCAGAGCATCTCTTCCTTGGAGAGCATCTCATCCCCACCTGCCCCTGCTGAGTCTGTGCATCCCCGTGTGAATGCCCTCTCCAGATTGGGAAGATCCCGGCCCACCTCCTACACTCCGCCAGGCAGCGTGGTGGGCAGCACTTCCTCCATCGGAGCCCAGGTGTCGCAGGGCTTCTTCCACTACCCTGAGAAGAAGAAGGAGGAGGAAGAGGAGGAGGAGGGGAGCACATTGCAAGAGATGCAGCCACTCATGTCATCTCTGTGGCCCCCCAGCTCTCTGCCTCCCCTACACCCTCCAGCCAGCTCCGGTCTAGGCTCAGGGAGGACGAGGAAACCCTGTGTGTACCTGAGGAGCCTTGTGATTCCGCCCCCTCCTGGCGGCAGCGAGCCACACAGTCGGGGCCCCACCCAGCTGTAACAACAGGTCCCAGATCAGTGACACTTGGGCCACCTGTAGGGCAGAGCAGGAACTGTACTTCACCAATCAGCAGCGTAAAGGCACCTTCACACATGCTGACAACCAGCTATCTGTCAGGCTGTCCAATAGGAACCCAGCTCACGCAGCTTAGATGTCCTCTTGTCTGCAGCGTCACATCCACCCAGATAGTCCTGTTCACTGTGTCCTATCCATATAGTTTGCAGACCTCATGTCTGCTTGCAGCTTGGCCTAATGATGTCTGAGAGTGAGGTAAAAAATGTGACCTGTGTGAAGGCTGAATGTGCCTCCTGTGGTCCGAGCAGATTTTAAAGCACATCACCAGCCACTACATTTCACCAGCTCCTGAAAGTCTAATAGTGAAGACTTTCATATCAAAAGTACTGCTACAAAGAAATCTTTTTTTCCAGTTTTATTTCAGACATTTTTCAGCTTCTGTGTCAGGACTGTCCACAGATTCAGTTTCTTCCAGCAGCAGCACAGTCAGGCAGGTATCAGAGCTGTTGTCTCTCGCTCCATATGTAATCAAACAAATCCTATTCATTCTGCAGGAGGTGGCCACTGATGGAGTGTCCTTTGGGTGAATTCTGCTTTGTTGTAACTTGGATCTTGACTTTATAGTTTGGTCCATTATACTTTCATTCATAATAAAAGTACAGTTGTTCACCTGGTAGGTACAGTATTATTACAGCAGGCAGACATGGGAGGAAAGACCTATGAAAATAAAGCCCAAGATGTAATAAAGAGAATTGTCCTTTACTGGTGGCCAGTCTGAGCCACAGTCGTCCTTTGATGAAGTGGTAGAAACCTTTTAAAGCCTTATTTCCTTGTTTCTTTATTTACAGACAGGTGCAACACGCATCTAACATGTATATTTATTCTGTCAAAGCCGCTCATTAATGCAAAAATGTATTTTGTAAAGCTGCATATATTTAAAGTCTACAGTACAGAGTAGTTTATTTTGAATGACCAAAGTGTGTGAAAACGAGCATAATGAACATTTATACTGTATGTGTGTATAACCGCCTTACTCTGTGTGTAGTTGTAGACGGAGACCGTCCACAGGTGTATTATTCCACCAGCAGCCTGTGTATACGCTGAAAGCCAAGATGTCCGTGTGATGGTTTCTCCAGCTGTCAGTCTCTTGCTTTGCCAAAGAATGTGTTTGCCTTAATGTCCAAAATGCTTTCACACACTCCGCTTCAGCCTGCAGCAGTTTAGCTTCAGGCAGAAGGCCTGTTGTGTCTTGCGCTGTCTGGGGGAATGTCTCATCCACTGTTCATTACATGTCTTTAACATGTTGCAACAGCATGGAGTGCTGCATGCAAAATGCTACAGGAGTTGAGTTTATGCCATAGGATGAATGAAGACATTAACATGCCTCTGCATACAAACTGGTCCAGCTAGAACTGGTCAGATGCGGTTGTTTGGAGAGAAATGAAGACAAACAAAAGGGCTTACCTTTCTCTTGTTGTTTCATGCTATAGCGCCCCCAAGCTGTCAGGCTCAGACTTCGGCTTGTGCTTTCTTCAGCAGCAGGTGAAGTCATGTTTGGGGTTTTATTTTGATCCTGCTAGGTTCCCCTGTCTGGCTGTTTTGCTTTCAGCTCTTGTGGTTTGATCCCAACATTATCTTATATTGGCATCAAACAATAATGTAAAACTAAAGAGAAAAGAAAAGTTAAAAACATGTAGGTGTGTGTTACTTACACTAAGGTACACAATGGTGCAGTCAGGTGGGTGGGTCATCTGAATAAATGTGGTAACAACAGTAGAAAGGCAAACAAATGCTTCAGTAACTTGTAGTTGTCTTTTTCAGGCACTTCATTATTATTTAGGACTTCTGGAAAAACCCAACCTTTCAGTCACTACTGTGACTTGGATGATGAATTGAATGGAAAGTGATATTCATGAACTCTGGTGTGATATAAACACAACACAAATGAAATAGTCATTCCCTTTTCCAAGACCCAGAATATTCTATTTAATACATGCATTAATCAGGAGAATATTATGGTTAGCTCTTTGTTTTCTGAGCTCTGTTTTTGAAGCGAATAAGAATTGAGTTGGTAAAAGTGGATCCTGTACAGTTAACTTTTTAACAGGCCCTGCAACATGACACTGGACCGACTTCCCCTAACCCTGCAGAACATCGTGGTTTAGCTCAACTGCTAAAAGAAAGACTGTTGAACTGAAATATTGAACTCTCGCCAGCTGAATGTGTGATCAGGTAAATGTTACACCGGTGCAGCAGGCTGTTCATGGTGCATGTTGTCCTTGTTTCCTCATTGTACAAGAGTGACTATAATAACATGCAAAACATGTTGCTGCTTGTAGAAAGGCCTTTATACTGTAAACATCCTTGAACTGGAGCTGACACCATTACCCGTCTGGTTTCAGCACAGAAAACGAAACGTGTCCTGTTGATCATCTCTGCAGTGATTCGTACAGCTGTCAGTGTGCTTACTTTTAACTCTGTGTGAACACAGACAGAAATGTCCTGCGGAACGTCAGGTGTCTCTTTGTTTCAACTGTGACTCAGGTTGTTGGGTGGAAAACCTAAGGCACCATTTCTGTCTTTGTGCCAAATGTTTGCTAGCCCTGGCTTCTGCCCAGAGATCTAAAGGTCAGTAAATGTAAGGCGTGTTTTTCTAAATTAACCCAGCTGACACTGTTTCTTCAGTGCTTCAGTCAGTGCGAGGTTAAGAAGGTGGTGATTTGTGCAGATGTGAGGAAAAACAATAGATTTAATCACCATGTGTTACAATTTTAGCACTAATATTTCCATTTTGTGAGACTTCCTTTACTTCATTACTGAGGGAAATATTGTACATTTCACTGCATCTGATGGCCATACTTTACGGGGACAAAGACTAAAACATACTGAAAGTATTATAATTGAAACTACCAATCGGTATGTAAAGTACTTAAACGGCACTAAAATACTGTGTACAGGTAAAACAACTTGTTATGGTGCTAATTAATCTTAGAGCTTGTACTTTTGTTACTTTGAGCTGCTAATACATCTGTACTGAATACAGGACTTGTAAGAGAGGATTACTGAACTGTGTTTTTGCTGAGGATTTGTGTGGATTCATTTCTGTGAAGAGCATACATATATGATAAGTCTTTTAAATACAGCTGCAGGAGGAACAGGCTTGGAAGAAAAGGTCTTGTACATACAATAAACCACTCCTCCCAGTACAGCCTAAATATAGCAGGGCTGGGTGCTGCTGACATAATTGCAACTATAATAATCTTAAGAAGTCACTGACAGAGGAAAGTGATAAAGTTGGCTTTCTATGATGCCATATCAGTTATTTTACTGGCATAGAATCAGTTTGTGTTGGACAAACATCACATACAGACAGAGAAAACATCCTGTAATACAAGATGTACCAACTGCAGATCAAAAACAACAACAACAACAACAGAGGCTGATAAATGCATATGGGTCACAGTGCTGCTCTTCAGCAAGACCCAACCTCAGCAAGATTGTAGGCTCCCACACTGTCTGGTCATCAGCTGATGCCAATTAGGAGGGAAATGAAGAAGTTAGTCAGGTGAAGCCTGGGGTACTTAAGTTTGTATTTTCAGTTTGACAGACTTTATCTTTCCCCTTCTAATGTTGTTGATAGTCTGTTGTGGTCTACGTGCACACCCAGCATTGACGTTTTAATCATAAACCTGTCAGTTTGGGTGTGTTTATGAAATCTGAAATGCCATCCAATAACTTTTACTGGATGCATCCACAAATTCAGAATGATAATGGGGTATAGTGAAGATAGATACGGGCCTATAGGTGTTTGTTACCTGAATAGACTATCTGTTCAATAAATGCCTCCATAATGTAAAATGTACAGTTCGATTAACTGGCAGAGCTGATATAATGTCACACTGACCTTAGTACTGGCGTATGTCAGTTGAAAACAAGAAATGTCAGATATATTGGAGCCCAATACTTAGTTTGTCTTACTTTGCACTGACACATAATGCTGCTATGCCGAATTTGTATTAAACATAAATAAATAAACTTTTAGGCATTTGTAGCAATTAGTTTCACATAGGTAGTGATGCGACGTTCCGTATCGAGGCTTCGAAGCGTGTGCCGAGTAGGGGAGGGGGCGTTTCCGCGATGCGCGTGTCGAGGCTTGCATCATTAGGGGGAGGAGCTGAAAATGATGACGTCCGAAGCCCCGCTGCCCGGCTGTGCCACGTGACTGATTCAGGAAGTGCCATCAGTACAATATACATGTTTTGCATACTACTTTATTTTGCTGACAGTTTTATTCACAGGCTTTCTGCAAAATGCCACACACTTCAAATTCATGCCAACTGATATTGTTGCATCCAGTAGATGTCCTACTAGAGCAAATGAAGCTTCAAGAAGCTTTGCGCTGGAGTGAACCAATTGGATGAAAGGCTTCATTGCTTCATGAAGCTTCATCTGCCCATCACTACACATAGGCCAGTTTCCCCTACTTTGTTGATGTGTTGCAAAGACATTCAAGTATACAATATTTAGTATTAAATATATATTTATTTTTAATTACCATTAACATTGATTTATAGTGTTTTAGGATTGTATTTTAGCAAAACAAACAAAAACTGAATGGTTATCCACACAGAGAGAATGGCCTACCTCATTTATGACTGAATTAAATGCTGTTGACCCAAATCTGTTCTGTGTGAAAAAGGCAAAATTATGTCTTGTAGGCGACATATATTATCTATCTATGCATATAATATATTCATAAAGGGAAAATTGAAACCTTACTTATTTAGTTATGCGTCGTAGAAACAGGTAGCCACTTCCGGTTACGGTTCTTGTTATATTACCGAAATGAGTCCGCGACTCTGGCCTAACAAGAAAGTGAAAAAGGTGAAATGGGCTACAAGACGTTTGCTTTCCGTGCGAAGCGTTGCGGTGGTTAACGCTAACAGAACTTTAGCTCAGTGCGCGGCTGAACAAACAAACAAACAATTGCTGACCTGATAAGTAGTTTAACTAGTTTGTAACGTTCGGTTTTTTTTTTACCTAAGTTATCGGTAAAACACTGGTAAGTGTGATTTTAAAGACTAAATTACCAAATTTGTCCACGCAAAGACATGTCTGATAATTGAAACATGAAGGCTGAGCTAACGTTAGCTAACATGTTGGTGAATTAGCTCAGTGTTTGTTTTTGAACGTAAGCTAGCTGTTAGCATGTTCACCTGGCGTCAGACAGACTGAGCCAGGTATCTGTTAATTTTAGTTGTTAGTTAACTAGTGTCCTCATTTAGCTGGTGACACTTCGGAGATGTTATTTGCTATGCTAATGTACATAGTTACATTTGGCGGTTTGACTCTGCTGTATTTTCAGCGTGCAGTCGTTAGCTATTTGTCAGTGAATAGATGTGTTTCAGCTGAATTTTTGATTTAGCGAAGTTAGCATATTGTAACCAACAATTAATAATTAGCATTGTATTAGCTGGTTGGGAACGTTAAAAAGTTACAGATGATGGAGTTTAGTGGCTTGCCATTGACGATATTTTTTATCAGCTATGTGTGCAGTGGTGGCAGTTGACTATGTATTAATTGACTTAAGTAACGTTGATATACTTAACTACAATTCTGAGGTATCTGTAACATTACTTGAGTATTTCCATTTTCTTCCTTTCCATGAAAGTACTTGTATTTGATAACTTGCTTTTCAGATGAATGAAACAAACCACATAAGTCAGACAAAACAAAATACAGATTAATCAAAAGACTTTATTGATCCTTGAAATTCACAATATCCACATTATCAATATTACCAGCACAAACTTGAGAGAAGTGGAAACCAACAATAATTTTCATTACCAATGAATCTCTTGATTAGAATTTGGATTAAAGGAGTAGTGGTTGACTTGTGAAATGTAAGATTAGTGAAAAATACCCTTTGCAACTTCTCAAAGATCAAGCTGCTGTCCTCCTTTTGGCAGATGCAACTTTCTGTCAGCAGTGATAAGAGAAACCAGTCATCCTGTGAGACGCTGGACCTAGAGGATAGTTGACATTTTGAGTATTTTGAGTTAAAGCTAGTGATGGATTTGTAAACCAGTTGCTAATTATGGCTTTATGGATTTACTGATTGATTAAGAGAGTAAATGTTTCAGCCCTATCCAGACTGTCTGGAAACCTGAGAGCAGTGCATGGCAGTATAAAAGCATACACACGCCTGTCTGTACATGGGAGAACGAGCCTCAGTTTGTGTGATGAGTATTTCCATTACAGTCTAGTCACAACAGATAACTCAACTGGGTCCTTGAAAAAGACCAGCAAGTCATTTAGCCTTTGGTTGTATGTCTCCATAGTGGTGTTACTTTTTGTTATTTGACATTTCCATGCAAAGTATTAGTTTTGTCTTGTATCATACAAAGTACTGGTCCCTACAAACAAGTGTGACAGCCCCTCTGTCTTTCAGCTCTCAAGTGTCTGTAAGGAGCCGGACAGTGTTTGTTGACGGTTCCAATCCTGGAGAATAAAATCTCACATCACACTGTCCTACACAGGAGTTAAATCCCTTGATGAGTGATTTCATTACAACACTACTGTACTGTTGACTCCCTGCCTCACTATGTTCCTCTACTTTGTAGCTTTAGTCTCTGAGCTGGAGGATTGGATGTAATAGGAGCCCCACCTGTCCTTCAGAGATGGAGACTGACACATCAGTTTTTACAGCACCTGTTGTCAGATCTGTGGCTCCTCTAAGCCCTCAGCTGCTGCTGTTGCTCAGAGTTGATCCTCTGAATCATGGCCTCGCCCTCCTCTAACAGGCCAGTGAGTCTCGGTGAAAGCACATGGCAATGCCTCAGCGCTTTGCTGTATCAGACACTGAAGCACCAACCTCCCTACATAAGACAAATGTTTTAGTAGCATGGAGTGTTTTCCTAATGTCTGCTCTGTTTTTTTTTCTGAAGATGGCAGACTGGTTTTATCCCGAGCACGGTGTCCATACTGTTGATCTGTAACAGCTGTATACAGGATTTTGTGTAGGTTGGCATGAATGACGTGATGTTTCTCACATTCAATTTTTGATTAACAGGCATGTTAATGCATCTGTGTAGCAGAGTGTGGTGAAGTGTTACAGTGGCCTGTTTACTTTGGACAGAGACATGTTTCTAACCGCTGTGCAGAGACCGACCTCCCTTTGATGTCATGTTGATTTAAACCTGTGTAACTCACAGAACAAGTCAAAGCTGCTGGCTGTGATCCACAGGTCTGGAAGCAGGCCTGTTAATGAAACTGATCAGGGTGAGCACAAGGAAACATTCTTCAGGCCCCTCTCAGACAGAGCAGCGAGTCAAGATGGATTAAAAGCCTTTATTTAATTGATGGGTAGCAACCTCACTGGGTCTTTGTCAGGGCAGAAACAGTAAAACCAGATTGTTCACACCTCATTCTTTAGTGAGGAAAGAAAACTACAATTAAAATGGTATAAAAATCAAATCTTCCAATTAAAGAGTTTCTTCAGAATGAGATGAAGCAGAGACATTGGAGCTGGAGAAGCAGCTTCCAGGCTATAGGAGAAATGATTCAAAACCATTGTACTGGTTATCAGTTCATTTTGTGATGATTAATTATTTTTCGGGTTTGTTAGGTGTCAGTGTGCAGTTCAGTGGCTCCACCACTTTTGTCCAGTGAACTAACAGCTTTTAAATAATTTGTTGTGGAAGTTGTTATAGACACCTGAGCTGCCCAGAGGATAAATCTTGTTTATGTAGATAATACCCTGACCTTTCCTTTAGCGCCATCAGCAAGTCACAGGTTTAATTTATCTCAACATCTACCAAATGGAGTGGACCCAAAATATTTAGCATATTTTAGCAGCAGCTCGGACTCTCTTCTGTTCTTCCCTTGTCACTCTACACCCGTGGTTCTCAAAGTGTGGGGCGCGCTCCACTAGTGGGGAATAAAGCCATGACAGGTGGGGCACAATGAACGGAGAAAATTAGAAATGGGCCATTAATACAAGTAAATTAAAATAACATCAGTTTGGGGCCTGGGAGAAAAAAAGTGGAACCATAGTGCAACAATACTGGTTTAACGTCGCCATGTTAACTGCAGTGCAACAATATAAGGAAACGTTCACAGAGAGGGCCAATAGTGTACGTAGTGGGCATAACGTAAATGGATAAACTTGTTATATGGACCACAAAAAAAGCAGGTCATTCATCGCAAGCAGACAAAGAAACGACAGGCACTAAGTCTTATCAACCAAAATGCCAGCTGAAAAGGAAATATGATGAAGCCTATCTTGCGCTTGGATTCACTGTGGGAATGGTGGGGGCAGAGGAGGGACACGTGTGTCTTGTGTCTTAAACCGCTGGCAGCAGATAGCATGAGACCCAACCAATTAAGAAGACGTTTAGAGACGACACACCCCAGTCATGTTAATAAGCCAATCGACTGGCAGAATACCGACAGCAGAAAAATCGCATGGTAAAATTTGCATCAGTGGACAGCAAGCACAAATGGCTTCCTTCAAAGTTGCATACAGAATTGCACAGTGCAGAAACCGTACACAATTGCTGAGCAGCTCATTCTCCCTGCTGCTGTAGACATGGTGTCGATTATGCTGGATCAGACAAGTCCTGCAAAATTGAAAACTATCCCTCTGTCAAACGATAGTTGCACTTATATTTTATCTGTTTTGAACTTGGTGTTATTTGATATTAAAATAAATTTTAAAATTGACCGATTTTGTTATTTTTTGACAAGTGGGGCTTGAAAATTCACCCACCCTCTAAGTGGGGAATGACAGAAAATGTTTTGAGAACCACTGCTCTACACACAGAGTGGCAAATAGGAGGGCTTTGGTTAATGTTAAAGCATAAATGAAAAAAATTCCCATTGCTTCTTTTTCGTTTGGTGTATGTAAATGGTATAAGCACATTGTCACATTTGTTTTAAACCATCTTATTCGGGGAGGAAAATGCGAAGTCAGAAGGAAAAGAAATGTCATAGTGTTTTATGTGAAGGCTGTTTGGACCAAAGGTTAAAACTGCAAATTTGTTTGCTGTGATTGAGGACAGCAGTGTGCACTGAACCCTCTTCCTCTCCACCTGCAGGACTGTGGGGGTTTACTGGACTGCAGGCCTGGACCTGACTCAGCGTCTCAGACCAGAGGAGCAAGATGAGTTTCTGCTGCAGGTCAGGTCACTATGCTTGTCTGTCTGTGGTTCTGCTCAGCAGCTAAATGGTTGTAATTGCTAGCCTAGCCCGCAGGCTCACCTGGCCTGGTGGGTGTCAGACAGATGCAAATTGTTAGTTTGGTTAGGCAGCCATAAACAGCAGACTGAAGAAAGTATATAGGTATAGGAGGAGGAGACACCTGGTCCTGTGCTCACTTCTCCCTTTCATAGCTCTCACACTGTCGCCTCACTCAGTCCTGCTGTTGGGATGAGGAAAATGGTCTGATCCTGTCACGGACCCAACCTCGGTGTGAACTGTGAGTTACAACAGTAATCTTGACTAAAAGGGGGGGGGGACATAAAGATTGTGGAGCCGATTATGAACTGGATTTGGACATGACTGATCGGACCCTGTTGGACTGAGTCTGTTTCAGTCTGGGTCACTCTGTCGACAGTCGGCAGGTAAAGTTGTGTGGTCTGTGATATGTACTGACGTTGTGACGATGTACTGACGACTACTGATGTTCTCAGAAAAACTTTAAGAGGTGATATTTGTGACTATGGCTGCAGCAGTATACTGTGTGCTTATTACCAGTACTGAAGAAAAACACACAACACGTCCACCTTTCTTCCCTGACTGCCTGTCAGACTCCGTCATGGGCGCCACATGCACACATGCAGCGGACAAATGGCAGAGAGAAGGTGGCTGATGGCACGGATCTCCATCCACCAGAAAAGAAATTAAAACTGGTAGAGCAGGAATAGTTTGGATAGACAAAAATGAACACCTTCTGGAACACCACTCCCCAGTGCAGATCAAAGTTTGTGTCCTGCTTATTACTTTAATCCCAAACAAGAAATTGTGAGTGTAAAAAATGTCAGTTATAAAATGCGCTATCAAAATAATTTTTCATATTGTCTGTTCACTAATCTCTGACTTAATGCGCTATCAAAATAATTTTTCATATCGTCTGTTCACTAATCTCTGACAACAGGACTCACACTGGTCCCTATCTGAAACATACAAACTTTGCCAGCTCACATTAAGTGAGTAAGTGTATACGTGAAGCTACAGACAGGATCAGTCTGGCTGTGCTGTCATGCACCTACAGTAAATTATTATAGTAAATAAAATCTGTGATATTTTGATAACATCCCTTCTGCAGCGGTTATACTGTGAAAATTTCATGTCATTTCAAATCGATTTGTGATTGACATCAGCGACCGCTGATACCACTGACCTGACACCTGATCAAGATGTATGGTGAATAAACAACAGATGGAGATTAAAGAATGGTGAGCGAATAGGACTTGTGTGAACGTGCACTGGACAAGTGAAACTGTGCAGGAGAATGAACACCTCTACATCCTTAAATCAAAGACACAACAGGACTGATGGCAGACCCTGCAGTCTGTTTTCCACACGTCTCCACCCAGGATTTCACCCAGACTCTGTGCTCTCTACCTTTTTTTTGTCATTTTTAGCACAGACTGCATATAAAGTTGGAGCTGGTAGAAGTTTGCTAAAGTGTTTTGGTTTCAGTCTCGTTTGTGCTGGAGGTCGGTGCTGCACACTACTAATGGTAGTCTGTGTTGATGGCGTATTAAGTTTAAGCAAAGTTAATTATTAAATTCAAAATGCTGCCAGTTGAAGATGAATTGCATGTGTCCATGTTCTGGACCATGTCTGGGCTGAGTTCAGCTTTTTGTTCCCTCAACATAATGGTGCTAACAACATAGAAATGTTTAAAATCTGTGAATCAGTCCCAGTTCCACAATCTGAATCATTGTTTCTTGCCCCTAATATTTTGGGAGTTTGTGATACCCTGTGTAGTCAAAGTAAATACAAATATCAAAATGCTTTTTAGTCTAGGAACAGCACTGAGACGGTTCTTTTCTCTATGTGTATCATTCCTGTTTAACAATCTTTTCTCAGTAGTCGGTCATCCAGCCACAGGGGGAATGTGGGTACCCATTTGGGAGGCCCTTGTCTTTCTTTGGCAGCACAACAGCAGGACCAGCCGGCCAAAAATGAAGCTCTTCTGTGGGAGCTCAGCACCAGGCCCTCCCCCCTCCTCACTGGGTGCCTGTGAGTCGTTGTTCGAGGTGGAAAGATGGATCAGACCTGCCCACATTCTTCTCTGATGAGCTGTGTTGTCAGTGTGAACTCAGAGCAGTGAGATGTGGTGTTTCATAACGTGTCGACACCTCAGCTCACATAGCATTGTTATAATTATACAAAGGAGACAGAAGGTGGTCCACTGAGGCAGGCTGTGTTGGATAAGCACCACTTTCTTCACTACATGTGACTGCATGTTGGATGCCCTGGCCTAACTGGACCGCCACCAAACCACATCCAGAAGATTTTACATACTCTTGTTTGTCACACACATAAAATTTGATGTAGTTACATAAGAGGACAGAAGAGAAATGCATGAGGCACACTGCCGAGTTAAATGATCAGCATGTGGCCTGAAAAATGTGTGTGACTAAGTCTGAATCACCTCCAGTGTGTTCATGGTGATGGAGGAACATGTCAGCCAGTGCAGGAGTGTGGTCACTGATGGCTTTACTGGTGGTGTCTGGACACAGTGGAACATTGTGGCCCAGAGGGAGGAGGGAGATCAGGACGTGTTGGAGGAGACGTTCACTGGTGGGTTGAGTCTGTGCAGGAGATTTAATGATGAGAAGAAAATATAAAATATCACCAGATTGATGCTTTAAACATTAGGGCCACAGATCTTCAGTATATGGGCAACACATGCAGAGACTACACATCCACTGGAGCCTGTTTGACTGAAAGTTGACCTGGATTGAACGGTATGTACTATGAAGTCAGCCAACCCTGCTCCCTCCCTGCCCTCGCCTTTTCCTTTACATATTCAGCAGTCATATGAAAGGAGGCTCCTTGGAGACTGTTGAAGCTGCAGTCAGGTTGAAGTGCTGGCTTTGGGAGCCCTCCAGGGAAGCCTGGCGGACACCTCAAAGGTTCAGATACAAGGCAGGCCCCACAGAGGCCCCTTCAAGGCCAGGCTTCATGGCCAGACTGGAGCTGCTGTTAAATGACCAGTTCAGAACAGCAAGACACAGTGTGCACTGGCAAAAAGAAAGGGGAGAAGACAGGGAGCAGTTTTCATGCAAACAGAGAAAGTACATGTGTTTGCTAGAACAGCCCTGTAGGGCCATTGCCTTGTATTATTTCCCTTCGGGATGAATAAAGTATTCTGTCTTTCTGTATCTAATTTATCATTATGCCATATCATAAATTTAGAAGCACACAGGAAAGACTTGCCATGCTGAGTACTGAAAATATCACAATCTCAGTCTTAACTTAAAGACTGTCCATCATGTAATTGGACGCAACCTGTAGCCTGAAATCATCCATTTTACTAATGAGTGCTCTGGCACTCGTCAGAAAAGGGCTGGGAAGCGGTGCTCTATGTGGCTGCCTCTGTAGCCTAGCTAATGCTCCAGCCCTGCAGCCTCGCTTCTGCTTCCTCTCCCTGCACCACCTTCGTGTCCTTGCCATGGGAATGGTAATCCACAGAGACCCGGGGCTCCTCACTATGTCCACTGGTATCCTGTGTGAGCAGAGAAACTCAGCTGTGACTCTCTGCTTGTAGCAAGCTCCCGTCTTCAGGAGATCGTGTAGGTGTTGTTCACCCAGCAAAATGTACACAGTACGGAAAACAGCTGTAACTCTCTGCTTGTAGCAAGCTCCCGTTTTCAGGAGATCGTGTAGGTGTTCACCCAGCAAAATGTACACAGTATGGAAAACAACATGTACACCAACCACCAAACAAAACACCGACTGAAGGAGCACTGAGCTGCTGCAACTGTGCGTTGCTGCCCTCTTGCTCTGTTAGTTGTCAAGTGGTTTGTTAGCTTTCATTTATTTGTGCTTTTGAAATGAAGGGCAGCCTGACTGGCCTGTTGGTGTAAATCCTCTGCTTGGCCTAAGTAACATGATGATCATTCTGATGTTAAGCTATCAACTGTTCAATGCTGCCATAAGGGCCCCACAGCCTTAGACTTTGAGAAACACTGGTCAGTGGAAAGTGAAATATACATGATTTGTAGTGAAGTGGGTCAGTTATGCAAGCTTCAGCACATTAAAATAAAAGCTGAAGCTGATCCTACACATGTAGTAGTTGCCTGTAGAAATGGTCTCTATGTTGTGGTTTGCTTTTGTGGCCTGGCTCCTTCTCCTCCTGTTATGACCTCTCTGTGTTCTGCAGCGCTTGCACTCTTGGCTGACACACTGACCACGATTCCTGTGTAGAACAACTCGCATCAGTCATCAGCCATAAAAGTACTTGAGTCCGTGAGACACTTGTAGCACAGTTTTCAGGCATATTATTAACAGTGTGTGACTGTGTTTACTGTCAGTCCGGTAATTTATTGAACACAGAGTCAGACTGGCTCTCCTGCCAACAGTCAATTGTGAGTTCTGCCAGCCATGGCTCGATTGTTGGCCGCTGTGGAGCTTGTTGGAGAAGACACATGTTCAGTTTTCAGCTGGGGGTAAGAAGAAGAGTTGATGTGTGTGGTTCTCCATGTTCTGCTCTGTTTGGCTGGATCCACACATCCAAGCTACAGTACAACACAAAGCACACTGTCAGTAACAGTGTTTAGATCTTCCTGCCAACACTGTGGCTTCATGTGTAAGGAGCAGTGTGAATGAACACCATCCTCAGCCAAGCCATTCATTAGTTCACTCACTCTGTCGGGTTAGTATCACCTGTTTAATTTCCCTTTAACAGAAGTTTTTTTTAAAAGTGAAAACGGTTAAAGTGAAAGAAATTTTTCATGAGAAGTCACTCACTCTGTCGGGTTAGTATCACCTGTTTAATTTCCCTTTAACAGAAGTTTTTTTTTTAAGTGAAAACGGTTAAAGTGAAAGAAGTTTTTCATGAGAAGTCAGTTTTTCTGTATCATTGACTTCACTACAAAACTAACTGGATAAACAGATGAAATACATTAGTGTTTTTGCTTTTGACCAAAGTAATTAAAAAGGTCTGTTGTGTGACATGAAATCCCAGTCCATCTGGTTACTAGTCAGTGATGTCTGCTTCTGTGCTTGTGTGCAGGTCAGTTTAATTCCAGTTCCTTCAGTAGCAGACCTCCAACAGCAGCCAACCTGGAGGACCATCTACATAACCAGGTAAGCATCAGTACCCACACACAGACTGCTTATCTCAGAGGGGTTACGTTGCTTTACGTGCAGCTGGAACAGGTAGGACATGTCAACACAGGATGAGTCAGCTGCTGGTTCTTCTGCTGTGCTAACTGATGGCATCCTGAACGTCCGTACTGTCAGTCTGTTGCACACACTGTTTCCTCTATGTCCGTCCAGAGGAGGAATCCCTCCTCTGTTGCTCTTCCTGAGGTTTCTTCCTTTTGTTTTTGGTGATCTGATTCAAGGATCTAGGGACAGTTGAAAAAGAGATCACGATCAGTGAGACCACCTATTTAAATTGATTAAATAAAATGCTGATGAAACTCATGGATGTGGTTTTAGTATTTTGCTGTTGGAAGAAGGTGCACATCCTTGGCCGACTGACGATCCAGTGTGAGGTGATGTTTTGCTGATGTTGGTGTGCATATTGAGTGTAACAGTGATGCAGCACAGCTGTGTCCTCTGACATGCACACATTATTGAGTCCCTGTGGGTTACTGCTTAGTATTCATTCATTCAGATTCCCGCTTCTTCCTCCTCCCCAGATGCACCTCGTGGTCCCTCTGTGGCCGCTAAGAAACCCCAAAGGTCACTGATGTTAGGAGGACCATCTGCCACTTAGCTTTAGCATATACAGTAGAAAATAGAGGGTAGTAATATTAGAACTGTCATGTGGTCAGTTGTAACCTTTTTTTTTCAGTGTATAAATGTTGAGTAAAACCCACATGTTAAAGACATCAAGCAAAACGAACTGTAAACTGAAAGCTACCAGCTGGTCCCTTTGACCCTGTTTAATGTCATTGCTCCTGCAGGAGAAGGGTGAAGTGTGAAGAAGCTGAGACGCAACAAACGGCTCCAGCACGTTGCTCTGTGCAGCATGAGGAGCTAGTGGGGTAGTGCAAATGGGGCAGACATCAGTGACTCTGGCTTCCCTCAGATAATGCAGACAGCTGTTCTCAGCCCATGGTGCTGTTTGTTGAAAACAGACAGCCTCCCATGTTTCCTGAGGGACAAACCTGTCACTCAGTGCAGTGGAGGTCTATGGCACAGAGTGTGTGTGTATGTGCTTGTAGTGGAGGTCTATGGCACAGAGTGTGTGTCTGTGCTTGTGTAATGAGAATTGTTGAGCAGCTTGCAGAAGCCACAGAGAAGCCCCTGAGCATGGTCTTAAGCTGTCATTTGTACAAAGTAACATTTTGTCATTGTAATGTGTGGCCTGTTGTGTTCATTTTGTTGGAATGAACAAGCAGCGGTGACGCCCTGTGTGTGTGTGTGGTTCTGTTGGACACATTCTTTAATGAGCTGGATAATGTCAGACTGTCATCATGACTGCTCGGTGCTGTTAAACAGCTGTCTATTAACAGACCTGTGGCTGCCAGGTAATGTGTAGTGCTGCTGCAGGGATTAGTGACCCACACGGT